AAAAAAATATTGCAGAATGAGTAATTATCCTTTAAATTGCTTAAAAGTAGACATAAATTTATTAAACGGTTGTAAATTTGTTTGTATAAAAAATTGAAAAAAAAACTACAATATATAATGAGTATTATCCTTTTTCCACTATTCATAGCTTTGATCATCATGACTCTAATGGATGCCCATCTCGGTGAAGCGGCTGAGAGAGAAGCGCTGGGATCTCTTAGAATCTCCCTTCTCCTTCACTCGACTTTTCCCCACGTGTGAAGGACAAGGGAGATTCTAAAAAAAGGGAGATAGAAAAATCTTATATATATATATATATATATATATATATATATATATATATATATATATATATATACATACATATAGAAAAAACACTCAAAAAAATAATAATTTGTATTTCAACAGTATAATACACACACATATATATATATATATATATTGGCTCTTTTGTGTTCGTATAACTGGCAGTCGTTTAAAATGTGTATGAAAGTTTGTGGGGTCAGTCCGTCACAATTGCATGCGTCTGTCGCTTTTAAGTGGAATCTGTTTAGATATTGGTTAGTCGGGCCGTGTTCAGTAAGGAATTGGGTTAGTTTATAATGGGTGCTTTTTGTTGTGTTGCAGTTTTGTAGGGTGATGTTTGGAATGTATTTATGTAATGGTCGTCCTTTGGTAGATTGTTGCCAATGTCTATTCCACTCTTCGGTTAAATCAGTCCATAAGAGTTTTTTAACGTAAGTGAAGGGGGCTAAATTATATTCATAAGGCAGTTGAATATCACAAGCAGCTACTTTTGCCATTGCGTCAGCTTTTTCGTTTCCGCGGACGCCGCTGTGTCCCTTTACCCAAATCAGTTGTGTTTTTATGTCCAAGTTCATCAGTTCGATAAAATTGTTTCTAAGTTGAGCTGTTAGTGGGTCTTGTATTTTATTGTTTTTTATTGAGTGAATGGCTATTTTATTGTCAGTATAGATGTTGTAAATAGATTCAGTTTTGTCTTTTTGTCGTAAAATGTAGTCCGTAGCCTTTAGAACTGCCAGTTTTTCTGCCTGATTATTGGAGCAATTCTGTCCGAGTCTGTGTAGTTCTTCATAATAGTCGCCGTCTCCTTCTGTAATAAATGCGCAGCCTGTTTTGTGTTCTTGTTTACTTCCGTCCGTGTAAATGTCCACAATGTTTGTTTGTAGTTCTATTGTTTGTTCCAAGTACTGTACTAGTTTGGCTTGTATTGCTGGGTGTAACCGTTGTTCTAAGGGTTGCTCTTGTTCGATGTTGTCGCGTACTATGTCTTTGTATCCCATTGTGTGTTTTTTAATTTTGTATATTGTAGACAGTTCTGTGATTTTGTAACGTACTGAAAGTATACCAGCTAAGACACAAGCTGCATCATATGATACGGTGTTAAATGCTTTGCTTATCCTGATAGCCATAAGCCGCTGTACCCGTTGCAGTTTGGTGAGGTTATTCTGCTTCTTGGCACCTGATTCCCACACTGGTATAGCGTACAAGATTTTTGGTACTATAGCACCTTCGTAGATAAGCTTTAATACCTGGGTCCCTAGTCCCCAAGTTAATCTTGCTGCAATAGTGAGGGCATTTATCGTCTTCAGAGATCTATTAACTACCATATCTGTGTGGGTTTTCCAATTCAGTCTCCGGTCGAATATCAATCCTAGATAATTCATTGTGTCCGTCTGTTCTAGTGTCTTGGAGTAGAGTCTTATGTCCAACTTTGGAAGTTTCTGCTTTCGTGTAAAGAGCATGTATTTTGTCTTGTCTGTATTAAATTCTAGTTTGTTAGCTGTAGCCCATTTTTCTAAGATGATAAGAGATTGGTTGGTCAGCACTTGTAATTTTGGTAATAGCTTGTCTTTTACTAGTAGAAGGATATCGTCGGCATAAGCTAAGATGTGTGCTCCGTCAGGCAATTGTAAATCGAAAATTGTATTGAGAAGGACGTTCCAGAGTGTAGGAGAAAGACATGAGCCTTGTGGTATACCAGTTGTTAGGTGTTTTTTAAATATGTAGTTATTTGTCCTGATTTCAATCGTCCTGTCATCGAAAAAACTGGAAATCAATAAAAAGATATTTTTTGGGCAATTGTATTTTCTCAGGTTTTCTAATATAATTGGTGTCCATGCATTATCGAAAGCTCCAACAATGTCTAATTTGAGCATAATGCAATTAGATTTTGTTTCCAGGGCACTTTCGATGTAAGTTTTTGCATTGTACAGAGCATCTATTGTACTTTTTTGTGGTCTAAATCCATACTGATTAGTATGCAATATTTGGTTAACTGTTAAGTAGTGTGTCAGTCTATTATTGATTAATTTGTCTAGGACTTTGCTCATGATTGGTAGGATCGTTATAGGTCGTAATTTGTCAGAATCTCGTTTGGGTATTATGTGTAGTAACCCTTTTTTCCAGGTTGCCGGTATGATTGACTGTTGCCATATAAGTTGGTAAATATATGTGATTAAGTTAGGATATGATTCTGTCATGTGCTGTAAGATTTCAGTATTTATTTTGTCGTGTCCTGGTGTTTTATTCTTGTTTAAATCATTTATGATGTGTAGAACCTCAGCCTTTTCCAAAGAGCTGTCATTGTCAGTATTTGGGGGTATTTTGAGTCTCCTTCTTAAGTTTGTTTGTTCTAGTGTATCGTTTGTGGATGTATCTTGTTTAACAAGGGTGTTAAGCACATGTTCTAGTGTTTGCTTCATGTTTAAAGTATGGTTGTTTTCATCATTTAATATAGTTCTGAGGACTTCTTGACTTTTAATAGTGTTAGATGCGTACTTGTAAGCCCAATTCCATGGATTTGTTTCTTCGGTGCAATATTTTTCCCAAGATGTGATTTTCGATTGTTTGATCAGTGCTTGGTATTTGTGACGGCAGGTGAGATATTCTTGTTTACGTTGTTCTCTTATGAGGATATCTGTTTTGGTCTTCTGGTATGATTTTCTAAGTTTGTTAGTCGTTTTTCTGAGACTTGTTAATTCGTGATTCCACCAAGGTACCGTCCGATGTTGTTTGTTTTTATTATAGCTGTTCGTATTGGATATTTTAAACGTCGCGTTGCATGCTTTTTTTATTGCGGAGTTTAATAGGTCAACAGCATCCTTCACGTTTTAATTTAAAATGTTTTCCATAATTTTGTGTTCAATCTGAGACATCAGGTATGTTTGGTCGATTTTAAAGTGTTTTTGTAATTGAAATGTTAAATTGTTTTCAAATTTTTTCCAGTCACCAGATTTAGTCAAGTAGCAACTTTTATTGTGTGTGTACTTTCCGTGGTTCCGTTTTGTCGTTATTTCAAAATAAATTGAGTTATGGTCAGAAAAGTTACAGTCGTCAAGTATTTTCCATTGCTGTATGCATTTGGTTGCGTTGGGTGTGCATATAGTTATGTCTATATTGCTTCTCCCCCTTGATCCTTCAAAAGTAGTCATCGTAGAAGGTCTATTAATTAATATTAGGTGATTAGACATAATGTATGATTCTAAAGCTCGGCCTCTTGGGGTAACCTTAGAGTCGTGCCAAAAAGGTGATCGGCAGTTCGAATCGATACATAAAATTATTTGGTAATTTTTGTATTGTTTTATGATTGCATCAATCTTCGCGAAGTCTTTGTTAATGTCTGTCTGTTCGTCAAAATATGAGCTTATAAAAATGAGTTTTAATTTTATGATTGTAATTTCTATGGCGCAAAAGTCGGAGTCACTATGTTGGGATAGTAATATTGCATCAGCAAGTTTGTTGTTGAGTATGATAGCAGTTCTGGGTTTGGTGTCATATGTTTGGTAAATTTGATATCTTTGTGAATATCCTGTTACTTTGTTATTTCGTGTGTACGGTTCTTGAATAAGAGTAATGTCTATGTGTTCGCTTTGTATAAAATGGTTCAAGTAGTCTGTCGCTGATTTCGAATGATGTGTATTTAACTGTATTATCTTTAGAAGTCTGTCCATACTGAAGTAAAGTTAGTAGTCTGTGTTTTGTGATAGTTTGTTAATTTCTCTTATGAATGAGGGACAGTTTCGGTCTAGTGCAGAATGGTTATGGTCTATTTTGTTTTTGTCTTGTCGGACATGTCGGTTAAAGTTAGAGCAGTTGGGACACTTACGAGTTGGTTCGCAGCAGTCCTTCTGCAATATATATATATATATATATATATATATATATATATATATATATATATATATATATATATATATATATATATATATATATATATATATTGTAAAAAGTTTTTATTTGGCTGTTGAAATACAAATTATTTTTTTTCTGAGTGTTTTTTTTTTTGCGATATTTTAATGATAAGTTACTATTTTTCATCTTTGACTTCGCAAGTTTAATAGAGGCGGAATGGTATTATTTTATTAGAAACCCATTTTACCATACAACCACTGTCCTCAGTCAGAACGTTTAACTTTGCTAGATTTCGAACCCTCATTAAAATAAATATTACCGGCAATTTTTTTATTTTTTTTAATCTGAATGTTTTGTGCCTTGAACAACAATCACCGCTCCATCCGTAACAAATAGTGGACTTCCTTTCAACTGATGAGCTTTCCGCGGTCCACTGAACTTCTTCTAGAGCCAGAATAAGTAAGGAGTTTATATTTAGAATACTTTTCTACCAGCATTTTACGAAACCACTAGATTAAAATTTCTAGCGATCCACTCAAATATCAAACAATCAAGTACATCTAATTAATATGGATAATAACTTACTATGGAAATATTTTATAAATTATAAATAAATAGATAATAAACAAGTGTACAAAATTAAATCTATCACAAACGTATACAGCATGTACCTGTTAGTGTTACGGCATGTGTTGGTGTTTTTTTGTAATTATCTAGAACATGTTCCGGTAAAATTCAAACAAAATTTTGTATTATTTCTGGGCCATACAGCATCAATAGCAGTAAAATAAATTATAATTTAAAAGTTATTATAACAAATAAACATACAATAATGTTAGTCTCACCATCCTGTAGTCCTAGTATATCGGCAGACACTGAAGCGGAGCACAAGACGCATAACAAGAAGAGGAACATGCTGTGACTGCTTGGCCTCTAGCCCCCACCATCCAACCTAAGACTGGTTTTCATATGTAAGAGACTGACAGGAAAGAAAAAAAAAACACAAAGTAGATGAGGAAGTTAGTAACTCTACGTTCCTCTCCCAAGAAATGCGCAACCTATATTATTATATTTTATAACTAATAGATAACACTATTAAAATAAACAATAAATAATAAAAATAAATTAAACTAATATTAGTTATGAATGAAAACGTGTTTATTAAACTTTTTAAAAAATTACACAATGTAAAATATATATATACAAGCTACAACACATAGACAATGGAAAATTCCGTCTGTCGAGGTCTGTGTGTAATTAATAATAAATATTCATCACATTTATAACTAAAAAAAATCAGCAATAATATATCTACAGTATTATTATGGTTTTATACATCCATTCTTGCAATTTTCTTTTTCACTTTCTCATCTGTTTAAATAGAGTTTTCAAAAAAACAAACATTAGTACGTCACAAATTCAATAAATAAGCGCGATATCGTATCCCATATCGTATTCTAAATAGTTTACTATCTGACTAATTGGGATCTTTGCAATGATGCAATCCCTGCTGTACATAATTGCTTAAGGCTTTCCCATTAGAACCCTTTAAGAAACCAAATAATTCCTCTGGAGATCAGGTCCGCTGCCCAAAAAATTTCTCTCTCTACTCACTGAGTATGTGGCAAATCCCCAAAAAGTGAATGATATCCTCTTGAATGATATTTTCTTGAGAGTTATATACCGGACAGCAATCATTGTCCCCCACCATCCATGGTTTTACGCATAAATCGAGCAACTCTGTCCTACATCGAAAAATTAACCCTATAGTCACAATATCAAAACTGTCATTAAGATAGGGTGTAAAAGTGCCCACTGAACATAGCCCTGCGTAAACAGAAAAGCTTGAAAGAAGACATTTTTCTAGGTATTTTGTAGTCCTCTATCCGTTTAAATTTTTCCAAAACTTCATAAGGCTCGAACTAATATTAGTTATTCACTATTGAAGTCTTAAATATATTAAAAACAAAATGCTTTACTTTTATAATAATAAAATAATGGAGAAGATACAGCAGGGAAAATATTTTAAACACATATAACACTCGTTACTTTTAAACAAAAAAAGCTATAAAATACCACTTTGGAAAAAATGTGTCATCTCAAGTCGTAATGCGTTTTTTACATAGATCTCTAATATGAGAATCCGGTTGGTAACGTATGATTGGATGCAAGATTGAAGCATTTCAAAATTCAAGGAATGAAACTCTGGCCCTATAGAGAACAGCTTTTTTTCTGAAGTAGCAATATTTACAAGGCATAGGATATTTTATTTCATAATCAGACATAATTCAACAAATGGTAACCGTCTTGCTAGAACACCAAGAGGACATCGATTAAGTAATAACTTATTTTTATTATTATTAGTGGACATTTCTGATAAAGAGGCAAATGCTTCAATTTCTTCAGTTATTTTCCTGAAAACTCAAATATTAGGATTAGGGACATTTAGTTGGTCACTTATTACTATAAGGATCATATCATGACACAATCTGTCGGTGGTGCTTGCCTCTCCTCTCAAGAAATTTTACTGCCCTTCTCTTCTTAAAATCAGTAATTAGTAGAACTAAAAAGAAAAAAAAAAACTTGTTCGCACAACACACAACTTTCACGTATCGCACAACTTTTAACAGAAATAATTTTCTTGCCATTTTGGGCTATTAAAAAATTTTTGAATTGCATTTTTAACCGAGCTAAAGCTGAAAGATCACAGCTTACAAATCACAAATACCATTAAAAACTCAAAAGTCCTATTTATTATATCACCGGTTGATTATGGATTTTAAAACTATTAGTAATTAAATTGTTATTTTCCATTTCAAAGTTTACTAAAGCGAAATAAAGAGATTTACATTGTCTGTCATAGACAAATTTTGATTTGTCACACTAATTGCAAGTGAATACTGTTGGAATATCGCAAAGGGAAAATTCATCAAATTATTCACTAATTTCATTTTCTAAATGGTTTCATGATGATTTTTCAGAATAAACGGACGATAGATACCTAATTATTTAATTATAATAGCAGATCTAAAGTTATTAAAGTACAGTAAATAAATCTAGGGTTATAAACGTATCCATGATATATTTTCATATTTAATTTCTTCTTTCACACAAGTACAATGAAATAGTATCTTAAACAATGCCATTGCCTTGAATCCGTTGGTTTTAAATACTTTTTCAAACTTAAAAAAATTTTAAAAGTTTACATTTAGTAAGAAAATTTCATTTAATTTCCTTGAAAACACCTGATTTACGTTAAATAATGTTAGTTTTTAGAAATTATTATTTATATATTTTTTCATCACTCTCCGTTACCTGGCTTTAAGCCTTAGATCCGTTTAAAATGCACTTCGAAAAATTTATAACATCCGAACATTGGCAAAAACGTCTGCCAAGTAAGGTCTCGACTGCCATGGCTTCCTCACCGTTTCATTGGCTAAAATATATCTATATTTCAAGCTATACAATTTTTAGTATAAGAATAAAATCAGTGGGAGAAGCCGATTCGGAAATACAGTTACCCTTTAGCATTCGCTGGTTTGATATCCACGAATTTCGTTTATCAGCTAATATTAAAATGCGAATGAGTGCCATTCCATATTGTTGAAGATTCCATATTGATCATTCTTTAAAAAATACCAATGCATACTGAACATGCATTTCACTACTGATAGTGCAAAAGGTCTTACGTAAAAACTCATTATTTTTTTATGATTTATTGGTATAATTTCATATTTTATTGTCCTCTCCTATTTCCCATCGTAGCAGACTGCTTGTATCAGTTGTAGGCTACAAAATGTCACCTTTAGCACACATAGAATAAAAGTTGAAATTTTTTACATACAACATTGCACTAATAGAAGTGATTGCACTAATAGAACTTAATAGGTAAGTTTTTAGTTCGTAAAATGGATGGAACTAGAAAAATTCAACATTTTGTTTGTTCGGCGTTAAAGAGACTAATACTTTTCTTCAGTGAGAACCAAACTAATTAAGCTTGAATATAAAAATATGGGTGAAGTTGAAACAACTTCGATATTTAAGGAGGTAATCGAGACCAAGATAAAGTTATTAAACTTCAATGGAAATAAGCACAATCACAAATAAGACTTTTACAAATTCAGAGTAAAAATTACTTTAAATTTACTGAAAATTACACGAAATCTAAGTAAGGAAGTAAGTGTCATGTCGGTAATGTTTGGAATCGACCAAACAATACAGTATCAATTAATTGTTTGAATAAAACCTAAAATTTTATAACCCGATAACGATATTGTAATAACCTCTCCCACGCCATATGATCAGTTCCTTCAACATTGCACAGTCATTATTTTGTTAATAATTATTCATATGAACTTTAATTATTAAATGGAATTGCCCGTCACATCAATTCGACTACAAACAGATGCCGAACCATATTTGATGTCTGAAACATAGAACGCGAGTGAAAATTTTTGATTCTGAGCACATTTTTTTTTTTTAACCTCTCGCACGAATACAATACTTCCCTACCTTCGTTAGTGAGGAAGCAAAAAACCCGAAAAGAAACCCGAACGGTTCTGAATGTTTTATTCTTTATCTCTCCTTTGCTACTTACGGTTGATCTAGAACCAATTCTGAAATCTCCACAACCGACACTTACGCCAGGTCAAATTAATTGGAAAAACTTTATAGATACGTTAGAAAAATCTATCTCGTTGAACACCCTCTTGCGGACTCCAGATGAGGTTGACGATGCAGTCCAATCACTAACGCAAGCTATACAACAAGCGGCTTGGAATTCTTCCTTATGTCCATTAAAACAGTCCAGGGTAAGAAATATGAAAAATAGCATCCCAGATTCAATTAAATACCTCTTACAAGAGAAACGAAAAGTTAGTAAGAAGTGGCAGCGCACTCATTATCCTTCAGATAAGTCCAAATTTAATCAGCTAACAACGGAATTTCGAGAAGAAATCAAACGATTTAAAAATCAAAATTTTAATACCCTCCTAAACAGCTTGGATAATAACAATGCATCTATTTGGCGAATGACAAAACGCTTGTTGAATCATCAAGAGACATCGCATCCAATTCGATATCCTGATGGCTCGTGGGCAAAGTCAGATGCTCAGAATGCTGAATTATTCGCATGCCACTTAGAAAAAATATTTACCCCTCACAGTGATTTGCAAGATTCGCGCAGTGCAAAATTGGTAGAACATCAATTAGATATTCCTTTAGAGATGACCCCCCACCTAAACCTTTTCATCCAAATGAAGTTAGCGTTATTATCAATAGTTTACCAAATCGAAAATCTCCAGGGTTCGATCTCATTACTAAATTTATTCTAAAGAATTTACCGAAAAAGGCTTATTCTTAACAAACATATTCAATTCCATTCTTAGAACGACACATTTTCCGATTTTATGGAAATACTCAATCATAACTATGATTCACAAACCCAATAAGCCTATAGACCGCCCTGATTCTTACCGCCCAATTAGTCTTCTACCTTCTCTATCTAAAGTATTCGAAAAAATTCTGTTTCGGCGTTTAAATTCACTTAGACTATTTGATGTCATTCCAAATTTCCAGTACGGATTCAAAGAGCATCATTCGACTATTCAGCAATGTTACCGCCTTATAGATTACATATCTTTCTCGCTAGAATCAAAATTGTACTGTCCTGGCGTTTTTCTTAACATGAGTCAGGCTTTTGATAGAATATGGCACGATGTTTTGTTACATAAATTAAAAACGATCATTCCTCCAACTTATTACTTAATTTTACTATCATATATAAAAGATAGATTTTTCCGTGTGAAAATGGGGACTGAGTTTTCTGTCATCAAACAAATAAAAGCTGGAGTACCTCAAGGCAGTGTCTTGGGTCCAACACTTTTCAACATTTACTGTGCAGACATCTCACAACATTCTGAAACACTGTTGGCTACATTTGCTGATGACTCGGCAATATTAACATCTAACAAGGATGCAGCAAAGGCTTCTCAGGTACTTCAAGAACACCTAGACGACATAGCTTGTTGGGCTAAAAGGTGGAGAATAAAAATGAACGAGTCTAAAAGTCAATTTGTTTCATTTACACTTAAACATAACTCTTGTCCTCCAGTGTTCTTTAATAATATTGCTCTAACACCTTCAAAAACTGTACGATATTTGGGTGTCCACTTAGACAAACGACTGACATGGACATACCACATAAAACAAAAAAGAAAAGAACTTAATCAGCGATACGGACTTCTTTCTAGGCTACTTGACAGACGTTCTAAATTATCTGTGACTAATAAATTAACTATTTACAAAGTCCTCATTAAACCACTATGGACATATGGGATCGAACTATGGGGAACAGCAAAGAAATCAAATACGAAAATCATTCAGTCATTCCGGTCAAAAGTCCATCGGAAAATTGTAGAAGCACCCTTTTACGTTTCAAATCTCGCGTTACACACTGACCTTAACACTCCTTTCATCACGGCAACTGCCACTGACCGCTTTAATAATTTTCATGACAGACTGACTCTAAATTCCAATCCACTTACTCAAGCTCTATCTACTGCCACAAATCCATATAATCCGCCCAGAAGACTGCTGAGGCGGTGGCCAAGAGACTTATTGCATTGAGCTACTTGCTGCATTATCTTTTTTGTGTGTGTATTTGTTATTATGTTATAATGTATGTGTTATTTTACTACTTTTTTTTATTTTTTTTTTTTGTCCTGTTATTCTTCTCCTTGATATATTTACTGAATACTAAGGTAGATGGCAAATTTATTGTGAGCCACAAATATGTACAACTAATAAATAAATAAATTGTTCTTTATCAGTAATACAAAGTTAAGTTTTTTTTTTTTTTTTTTTTTTTTTGAAATCTATTTATTGAATAATAATGCAATCAGCCACTGCTGGAGGGCTATAAGCATTAGGGCTAAAAGTTCTCATTCATACAATATATACAAATAATAAAGAAATAAATATAAATATAAGAAGTAAATAAATAATACTGATGAAGAAGGTAAATAAATAAAAAAAAAATAAAAAAAAAAAAAATAAATAAATAAAATAAAAACTTCTAAACACAATCATAACTATATACAATATATACATTTGCCCAAGAATCTCTGAGCCAGGCTTTTACCTCCACACGCGGAAGGCAAAGCAAGACTCCGGAAGATCCCAGTGCCACTTTTCCAGTCGCATCACTAGTATTAGAAGCCAGTGGAGACTGAAAGAGGGCAATATAGCCACAGACGCTCAGGACATGAGTGGAGAAGCTGGCCATTGCCAGGACTCCAAAGGCATATTTACAAAAGATCTCGAGGCCACTGCCGTTTCAACCTTCGAGGGGGATGGTATGGATGCTCGGAGCTGGATAGGGATTGCGCTAGAGGATTGGGATGATGAATGAGGTTCTGGTGAAAGTTGGAGAATCTGGATGGGATGATGTCATGGACATATGGGATGTCAAGGTCATGTTGTAGGGTCTTGTTCGTGACATAATATGGAGCATTGACTATTGTTCGAAGGACTTTGGACTGGAAGGATTGGATGCGTTTGATTTTCGATGATTTAGTTGTTCCCCACAGTTCAAGTCCGTAGGTCCAGATAGGTTTCAGTATGGTCTTGTAGATTAATAATTTGTTTTCTGTTGAGAGATGAGATCTTCTGTTTAGTAGTCTATATAGCTGACCAAATCGTCGGTTAAGCTCTTGTCTTTAAGTCTCGTATGTGGGTTCCAAGTCAGTCTTTTGTCCAGAAGGAAGCCAAGGTATCGGACTGTGTCTGAGTAGGGAAGAGGAATTGAATTAAAAAGGATTGGCGGACAGGATCTTCGTCGAAGAGTGAAAGTTACATACTTGCATTTTGATTCATTAATTTTGATGCGCCAGTTGTTGCACCACTGCTCAATGAAGGAAAGGTGTCTTTGCAGGTTCTGGGACGCTATTAGAGGATCCGAGTGGGAGGATAGGATGGCAGTATCATCAGCAAATGTTGCTAGGAAGGTATCAGGACTTGAAGGGATGTCAGCGGTGAAAAGGATATAGAGAACTGGGCCCAAGACACTGCCTTGTGGAACACCAGCCTCAATTGGATAATGTTTGGAGTGTTCAGTGCCGCAGCGGACTTGAAAGGAGCGATTTGAAAGGTAAGATTTGAGGACTAGGTACAAGGGTTGAGGTAAATGGGTTTTGAGCTTGAAAAGCAAGCCATCGTGCCACACCCGGTCGAAAGCTTGAGCTACGTCCAGAAAGGCACCAGTGCAATATTGCTTGTTTTCAAGTGCAGAGGATATGTGGTCCACAACGCGAAGGCCTTGTTGGACAGTGGAGTGTCTTGAGCGGAATCCAAACTGATGGGAAGGGATATTGTGGGATTCGAGTATGGGTAGGATGCGTTTGAGAAGGATTTTCTCAAAGATTTTGGAAAGGATTGGAAGTAAGCTTATCGGTCTATAGGATGATGTATAATTAACAGGTTTACTTGGTTTAGGAAAGAGGATAATTATGGAGTGTTTCCACACCAGGGGAAAGTGGGTTGTGCGGAGGATACAGTTGAATAGATATGTAAGGAATATAATTGCTTTTTTGGGAAGTTGTCTGAGGATCTGGGAAGTAAGGAGATCGTGTCCTGGAGATTTGCGAGGTTTTAGGTTCTTTAAAAGGAATTTGACCTCAGAGGGGTTGACGGCTGTAGGAGGTAAGGAGAGAGGAATCGATGAAGAGAGGAATTCTTTAACTTCAGCAGTATGGGAGGGATGGAGTTCAGGATGAGGAGTGAATGTGTACGATAGATGTTTAGCAAACTCTTTTGCTCTATTTTCATCTGACGAAGCCCAGGAACCATCATCACGGCGGAGGGGGTGGGAAATGGATTGGAATTTAAGGATTTTTTTTGTTACATTCCAGAGGGAGTTATCACTTGCAGATAGTGAGGAAAGATAGGAATTATAGGATTGGGATATAAACGTAGCCAGTTTTTGTTTTACCTGCTTGGAATAATAGTTATATTATTTCCGATCATCAGGATGCCTGGTTCTTTGCCAGATGGTCCTAGAGCATCGTTTCCTATTAATAAGGTCCAGTAGGTCTTGGGGTAGAGGATTTATTTTGCGGTATTTTTTAGAAGGATCAGGTGAAGATGCAGTCCAAACTGCTTGTTGGATCAAGGTCGTCATGGAATATACTGCTTCATACAAAGTTAAGTAGTAATTTATCAAAATGATTTACAATATTGGCCACCATAGAAGTAATTTACATGAGTTTTATTAACACATAAGACTGCTATGGATATTATTAAAACTATTTGCAAAACATTAACATTTCACTATTTTCGTCACCTCATTTGTCATGCTAATACGCTATAGTTATAAAAAAAAAACACAGTGCATATATGTGTGAGTATTTATAGTATATATACACAAGCTGTATATTTTAAATTAAATGAATTCTTGGTAATTAATATTCAGATGTTGCTATTACACCACGAAGAGTCTGTGATTAAAATGTGTCCAACAAAATACAGAAGTTTGGACTTATAAAGAAAAACTTGTTTCAATTGGAAGCATTATTTACCAACACTACTTCAATATTAAGTTCGGTGAAATCAATTTCATTATTAGGTCCTCTTCAGTGCTTTTATCTTTTTTAACGTTATAATCGGAAATCACCGTAATTTGAGAAAAGGCTTATTCCGAAGATTTTATTTTCATACAAAAAATTATAGATTTTTTTTATAACCAATGTAAATGGTGAAGAAGTTATACTGACCTTAATAATGGCAATTTCTTTTAAATATTTCAACACCGTCAGAAGAGTATAAATTAAAAAAAAAAAACATGGAGCATGACCCTAGAGCATCTATTATCTTGGTGGGGAAATCAGTCTGAATTGAGATAGTGCGACTAGAGGTTGATTAATGTCATCATGATCCTCTTCTATTTCGGGATCTTCGGGTTTACCGAGGTGTCTTCTAAGGTACTGGGACTACTGGAAGGTAAGTTATAACTTGCAATGGTGGTGAGCAATCTTGACCCATTGTATTTTAAAAATACAAATCGATGTTGGTACTCTCATAACCAGGCTTTACAAGCTCAGATGTCTTATTTCTATTTGCTTAAAATTATTTATAAATATATATGGAGTACCGGGGAATAGGGCTATGTCAATGTTCTTGTCATGTAGTAACGCTATTAGTTCGTCAACGTGATATATAAAAATTTAATATTTTACAACAGAGCACAAACTCATTATTTCTTTACGCTTTATTAGTATAATTTTATATTTTATAGTCATCCGCTATTTTCCAAAGTAATAATTATAGAGTAGTAGCAAACTATATAAGTATATATAGTATATATACTTAGTATATAAGTAGCAGACTCATATGTTATTGTCCTCTCCTATTCTCCATCGTAGCAGACTGCTTATATCACTTGCACACTTCAAAATGTCACCTTTAGCACAAATAAAATAAAAGTTAAAAATTTTTACATAAGATCTTTTGTACTAACAGTAGTGATATATATTTAATAGGTATGTTTTCACTCGTAAAATGGATGGTTTTAGAAAAATTCAATTATTTGTTTTTTCGGAGTTAACGAGACCAATACTTTCTTTCATTCAGAACAAAATGCATTAAGCTAAAAAATATAAAATATGGTTGAGGTTCACACAACTTCGATATTTAAGGAGGAACCGAAACCAAGACGAACTTATTGAACTTCAGTGAAATTAAATAAATTACAAATAAGACCTTTTTTTTTTACAAACTCAGGGTAAAAATTATTTTAAATGTACTGAAAATTACAAGAAATCTAGGCACCGTCAATAAGTGTCACGGCAGTAACGTTTGGAATCGTCCAAACAATACAGTATCAATTAATTTTTTGAATAAAACCGAAAATTTTATAAACCCATAACAATATTGTTATAGCTTAAATCCCACTCCATATGATCAGTGCCTTAAACATGTCACAACCATTATGTTGTTAACAATTATTTATAATAATTTTAATTATTAAATGGAATTCAATGAAATTGATATAAAGTTATTTCTATACTGTCTTCCAAATTTTCTCTAAGTTTGGGTCAAATCGAATGCGCCGTTTTCAAACTATTGGCATATCAAATAACACATTTCCTGATCTGAAACCGGAAGCATATTTTTTTTTTCTTGGTGTAGAGATAGAATTTGATAAAATTTATATCTATTTCATTTTACGTTTACCAATCTCTAAATTCCCTCCAAATTTGAACTAAATTGAACTAGCGGTTTTAAAGATATAGACGTAAGAAAAACACGTTTGCGCATATATAAGAGAAAGCAACGGACAGAATTCAACAAAATTGGCTTTACAAATACCTACTTTTTTTCCAATTTCTTGCCAAATCGAACAAGCCATTCCTGAAATATTGACCTATCTACAAAAATGCGTTTACGCCTAGGCAAGCAGAAGTGGTTGTTAGAATCTAATAAAATTGATATGGGACAATCTAGACACCAACCCGCTTAATTCCTGGAAATTTTATAAAAATCGGATGAACGGTAGTATATCATATGCCCGTTACATCGATTTGACTACAGACAGACAGACACCGAACCAAATTTGATCGTTGATGACTGAAACGTAAAACACGAGTGGAAATTTTCGATTCTGAGCACATATTTTTTTTTTAACCTCTCGCACGAATACAATACTTCCCTACCTTCGTTAGTGAGGAAGCAAAAAACCCGAAAAGAAACCCGAACGGTTCTGAATGTTTTATTCTTTATCTCTCCTTCGCTACTTACGGTTGATCTAGAACCAATTCTGAAATCTCCACAACCGACACTTACGCCAGGTCAAATTAATTGGAAAAACTTTATAGATACGTTAGAAAAATCTATCTCGTTGAACACCCTCTTGCGGACTCCAGATGAGGTTGACGATGCAGTCCAATCACTAACGCAAGCTATACAACAAGCGGCTTGGAATTCTTCCTTATGTCCATTAAAACAGTCCAGGGTAAGAAATATGAAAAATAGCATCCCAGATTCAATTAAATACCTCTTACAAGAGAAACGAAAAGCTAGTAAGAAGTGGCAACGCACTCGTTATCCTTCAGATAAGTCCAAATTTAATCAGCTAACAACGGAATTGCGAGAAGAAATCAAACGATTTAAAAATCAAAATTTTAATACCCTCCTAAACAGCTTGGATAATAACAATGCATCTATTTGGCGAATGACAAAACGCTTGTTGAATCATCAAGAGACATCGCATCCAATTCGATATCCTGATGGCTCGTGGGCAAAGTCAGATGCTCAAAAAGCTGAATTATTCGCATGCCACTTAGAAAAAATATTTACCCCTCACAATGATTTGCAAGATTCGCGCAGTGCAAAATTGGTAGAACATCAATTAGATATTCCTTTATCACAACTGACGGCATGTTGTATTCATATAATAAACAATATCATCGACTTATTGCAGTGATTAGTCGTAACTCTAAATCACTAAGCATTTTGATCACTTTTCCCCTTGTAAAATCATAAAATTGCTGGCTTGTAACTATGACATATAATAGGGTTTGTGTCATTTTATCAATAAATAATATCTAAATTCAGAATTCTTACGTGAGAAATTAAGCACCATCGAAAAAAGTAAATAACGTCTTTATAAAATATACCGACCTTTATACTATTATATAACTGGAAGATAAATGAGCGACCAACCTAAACAACAAACTTTGTTTCAGTTAAAACTATAATTAAAGTGTTGTGTTGTTAGGAAAAATACAATTTGCCTCAATCAAGGGCATTGTGTATTTGAGATAATAAGAAAAGAAAAAAAAATAATAAAATATATCTATATAACAATTCAAAAACTATGATAAAACCAAGGAAATGTAACTTGAAGATAAAATTAAATATATTACAGAAATTATTAGCAAAAATAAATAAAATATAAGTAATAGTAATAAATAGATACATGAAAAGATAGATTAAAAAGAAAAACATTCATGCTTATTTACAATACTTGTAGTGAACCGAGGGAGCTCCAAGTCGGACCCTTTTCCCCACGTGTGGAAGTTAAGGCAAGACTCCAAGAGATCCCAGCGCTTCTCTCTCATCCGCATCACTGAGATAGGGATCCAGTGGAGATTGAGAAAAGGCGCTAAAGCCACATAATCTCATGACTTGAGTGGAGAAGTTGGCCATTGCCAGGACTCCAATGACGTATTTACAAAAGATCTCGAGGCACTGCCTTTTTAACCTTCGAGGAGGATTGTAGGGATGGCTGGAGTTGGACAAGGATTTTGCTAATGGATTAGAATGATGGATTAGGGTTTGATGAAAATTTTAGTAACGGGGTGGAATAACGAATTTTAGACTGGAAGGATTCGATGCGTTTGATGTCCGAACATTTAGTTGGTTTTCAGTATGGTCTTGTATATTAATAGTTTGTTTTCAATGGAGAGGTTAGATTTTCTGTTAAGTAGTCTGTATAACAGGCCAAACCTTCGGTTAAGTTCTTGTCTTTTATGTCTGGTATGTGGGTTCCATGTTAGTCTTTTGTCTAAAAGGAATCCAAGATACCGAACTCTGTCTGAGATGGGAAGAGGTACAGAGTTGAAATGGATAGGTGGGCAGGATCTGCTTCGGAGGGTAAAGGAGACATACTTGCATTTGGGTTCATTGATTTTTATGAGCCAATTGATGCACCACTGCTCTATTAGGGAGATATAATTAAAGTAACTGCCAAAAATGTAATACTTCTAACAAAGATCATGTAAGTTTACTCTATTATAAGAATTGTAAACCAATTTAAAAAGTTTAAAATACTGTGGAAAACTTGTAGTCCAGTCCCCTCGTCATGAAAATGAGGGCTGAAGTTGCATCGAATGGGGATAGAAGGTTTCTTGTATAGGATGTGACTGATATGAAAAATCCAAGTTTTCGACCTCGGCTCTTCTCCTTCACCCCCGGACCACTTTTGAAAATCCCCGAAACTGCTATATTTCCGCTCTATGATCTCGTTTTTTTTTCACATTTTTACCACGAAGAAGCACGTTATGACAAAAAACAATCTATACATTTTTAAGTTAGATTAAATATTCTGCAATTTAAGATCAAAACAGGTTCGTTAAATTTGATAAATTTTGATAAACGTGCTCATTCATGGTTATAATGAAAAAAACAACGAAAAAAGTGCTTCAGTTCAAATCCCATACAAGAAAATTAAAAGTTACCTCCATTCAATGCAACTTACGACTTCCAAGGTTACTGGGCAATAGGGCCTCAATATAGATCTGTGGGAAGATTGAGTAGTTTTTTTTGGCTAATTCATTGAAACCAAGGAAATAGAAGGTATCAACATAGATTTTCTGAAATCTCTAAACTTTTTTGACATCATTCATTTCTTTACATTGTTGCCATTTTTTTTCCGCAGGAGCCGATTGCACACCACTTGGAGGAGGCCAAGGTGTTTGCAAATTACTTTCTAAATGTGGGACGATCGGTGACTACAAGAACAACCATCCTCCGATTTGCAGCTTCACCGGAATGAGTTTCGAACCAAACGTATGTTGTCCGAAGAAGCAACCTCATATCAGCGAGTCAGGTCGCAAGGTGAAGAAAAGTAAGAACATTTCAATTTTTAGATATTGATTTTATCTGATTAGCTGAAAAATACATTTTTGGTATGACAAAAATAGAGTTTATATTCGGAGTAGATTATACTGCTGTTGCTTTTTCTTGGATTGCATATGTCAAATTGGGTATAACAAGTGCAAATAAGCATATTTCATGGTTTATATAAACATACTCATTTTATAATATGATCTGGACACTACCGAACACCCTAGAAAAAAGATTTGAAAGATTTGAGAGAAAAATGCTCCCCACGATAACCGGAACGATCTGGGGATCAGATTATTAACTCGTGCAGAAGAAAGACCAATAAACAACTGCTTACAGAAACTGGTAAATCAATATCCCATGATATGAAGGCACGGAGGTTACTATGGGGGGACATGTAGTTCGTAGCAATCCATCTGGAAGCCTCTATGCAACAATGAATGCCTCAATAGAAGGCAAAAGACCACGAGGAAGGCCAAAAAGCAGATGATTAGATAGAATCAACATAGATGCAACAGAGCTGTGTACAGGAAAGAAATAGCACAAGACAGTCAAAGATGGAGCAGACTTGTTAAAGCGGCAAAAGATGGTCTATAATGCCAACAGAAAAAAAAAAGTAATTCTAATACGACATCTAGGTTGATATTACTTACTAACAATATACATTAATAATGGACTTACTAGGTAAATGTAAATTTTCGCTGGTGTAATAATGATGTTAAATTCTCTCATTGAAGGGCTGTCTTCCGCAAGTACATCTGGGTCGAGTAGTGTGTTCTGGCCTGCTGAGATCTCTGAATGTTGTGTCATGTGCTGACATCTCAGACACCCATGCTGGCTTTTTCCGACGATTCATTCGATTGGCCTAGCTAGACATTATCTTGAGCATCCTTGGTCATGTAGACCATTTTTTAGGCACTCAGACTGACACAGGTGACTGGTACTTCGAGCCTCAGCTCCTGTGTCCCCCAGGCAGAACTCTAGTGGACATCTATACTTCTTCTCACTGCCAATAGATGACTTTGCAAAATTGGCCACTAGATGGCGCTAATGTCGTGTGCTATTTGATGAAGCCTATAGTGAATGCCCTTAACAAGGAATGAAGAAGTCAGTCGAAAAGGAGACAACTGAAGGAGAAGGTCTGGAAGTAGTGGTCTCTCGCTGATACAAAGCTCAAAAGGTGCAGGGCTAAAAAAGAACATCAGCCGAAAAGAGAATATCCAGAAAGAGTTTTTCAGGAAATACCGTTGGGAACCAGATAATTTGTAATTCACTTACAAAGGGTCATTCATTTACATTTTTTTGACTTTGCACTGCAACGATTTTTTTGTTGTGTGAAATAAGAAAAACACAACGTTAATTGAATAGGCTTCTTGTGAAATAGACCAAGGTTATGTTTTTGATGGAAAGACGATTCATATTAATTTTTTGGATCTATTAAAACACTTAAATACAAATTTGTTTTGAAATGAAAAAATATAATAATTTTTTTTCGTAATTTTATGGTAGGATTTTTTTTTCATACTGTTTACTAAAACATTCATAACTCCTTATATTTTTCTCCTAATTTGATGTTATAAACCGTTGGAAAGCTAAATTATTGCTCTTCAAAACTATACCGATGACTTTCAGATAATAATAAATACTCCCCAAACGTTTTTATTTTTTATCTACAAATCATTCCAAATTTTTTCTTTATTTCAGAGATTTATTTTTTAGATTATGGTTTTACTTATCTTTGTACATATTTGCATATTATTTCTATGTATCTGTTTATTATTATTTAATTTTTTTATTATGAAAAGTCACTCATTTTTTTCAGTTGCAATTATTATAAATTTTTTTAAATCTCATTATCATTTATTTATTTTTTCTCTATTTTACATAGTGGAAACTCAAATTCACTAATTTACGATTGTCCCTTTTCTTTTAAAATTTTCAAAGATGTATATCCTTCTCTACCCTTAAATGACTAATATCCTATTAACGTGCCATGTTTATTCCCAATCCCTTTTCGTTCACCCTTCCCAAGATTATTTCCTTGCCGTTTCGGAAACCTGTTTTAAACCTAATATTCTCTCTTTCTCCAGATCCATTCCTAACCATGCTCTCAGGGGTCATGATGGAACATATCGAACCGGTTGTGATGTTGGTCTTTATGTTCATGAGAGTCTTAGGGAAAAAATCCTGCACGAATCTTCCTCTCCCGACTTTTCTTACTTGAAGTATTTATTTGAAGAAATTTCCTCAAATTCCTTTTCCCTCCTTCACGTCATTACATATCGCCCTCCCCATGTCCAATTTGATCCTGCTTTCAAATTCCTCCTTTCGACTCCTTCGAAGTTCATTCCCAGACAAATTGCATAGCAGGATCTAGGCTCATTGATTAACTAGATCCTTTTCTTGAACCAATACTCCAATCCTTCAGTCTATTCCTACTCCTCCATTGATGAAATAGTGTAGTGTCTTTCCTCAAACCTTCTCCCATTCCTAAATCAACAAGCACCCTTAAAGACCTCGACCTTCAGACGCTTTGCTGCTCTCTGGTTTCATTCAGAAATAAGAGAGTTGATGATGAGAAGAGACGCTGCAAGCAGGCGTTTCAGATGAATACGTAATCCGGTTGACTACTTCTCTTTCAAGACTCTTCAAAACTTTACCCAACCTCCTAGCTACGTACTAACTTATTAATATTTCCTTATCATAAGCCTGAGATTCAGATGGAATATATTTAAAAACCTCAATTAAAAAAATAAAAATAATTTTACTGTTAAATTTTTTACTTTATAATTTTTTATACAATTCATTTAATAAATGCAATTTAGGACGAAAATCACTCATGTTTTTCAAAATTCAAATTATTTTACAATAAAAAAAATTATCGAAAATTCATTTTTCTCGTTTTATTGTGTTTTAATATTACCTTCTATTTGAAACACATAACTCGAAATTCACGAAATAATCCTTGTATCACATTCAAAGAAAACTATTCCCTTTCATCAACAACTGCTAAGCAATTAGAAATCTTTTTAATATGAAATATAGGAAAAACATAAAATGTAATACAAGGATTATTTTGTAAATTTCGAGTTAAGTGTTTCAAATATAATTTAGACCTACATCAAGAAGGTAATATTGAAACATGATAAAAACAAGAAAAAGAAATTTTAGATAATTATATTGCATTCTTATCCATAAATCCTTATCCCATTCCCTCATTCCTTCTACTCCAACTGAGGCTATTCAAGCAACCTCGGTAATCATTTCAACTCGTCCTTTCCACTTAACACTTTCAGCTGTATACTGTCCTCCTGGTCATACTCTTACTTAAAATCTGTTTGAATCCTTATTTTAATGCTTCGGATCGCGCTTTATTGTTGGAGGAGAATATAACGCTAAACACCAAGGATGTGGTTGTCGAGCATCCAACTCCCGTGGTAACATACTATCTTCTGTCTCAACTTCTAATAGTTACTCCATCCTCTCCCCTATGAATCCTACCTATTGGCCAATCTCCCTCAAAAAACGACCTGATATCTTGGACATATTCGTCACGTCCCAGATTTCCTCTTCGTAGATCACTATCAAATCCCTGGATGACCTCTCCTCAAATCATAGTCCAGTTCTGTTTTCATTACAACCAACCTTCGTTCCTAAGCCCTCCTTTTCTCCTTCACTGATTACAGGACAAGTAAACTGGGACAAATTTCGTAAAGACTTGGCGGATAAATTGGACCTAAATATTCCACTTAGGACAAAACATGACATTGACTCAGCTATAGAGGTACTTACTACATCTATAAGTGACAAATTAACGATAACACATCAACCAATAAAAATAACAACTCCCAACAGACTAACTTGCCTTAAGCAAGATCGAAGTGGCATAGGACTAAATACCTATCAGACAAGTCATATTACAGCAAGTTAACTAACCAACTAAAAGCTGAAATTAAAAAATCCAAAATCCAAAATTTACCTAAGTTACCAGAAAATATTACAACCAACCTAACTGACAAATCAGTATGGTTGACCACTAAAAAGCTCTTAAAATTAAAATATTTTAACCATCCACTTATTACTCCTCGCGCGGGCTCATTACCGCGTATGGGGAGCGTCCCACGGGTGGCGGATGTGGGGATGGTCGGTGGAAATTCCTTGGAAGTTCTCCGGCTTAAGTCCGAGGACGACTCGCTGACCAACATCGAAGAGGCCCTCCAGACTGGCTGGTGGGAGGGGAACTCCAGGACTAGCTGGAGGTGGGGCCCACCAGACCTTGCTGGGGGGTTGTGAGATAGGATTGAACGCCCTACTCAATCTCTTTAGTTCATACTAAAACACACCAAAAACAGTCATGGATCTCCCTAAGGTAAAACGCCTCATTATCGGAAGTAAACGTAGGCCCCGTTCGGTCTTCCGGTGGGGGACTGCCTTTAGGGATTCATGGCAAGTTGAAATTAGGGATTAAATTTTGGTACGTGAACGTCAGGAGTTTAAAACAGCAGGGGGGGGGGCATCTAAAATCGGTCGCGAATGAGGTAAATGGGTACAATTTGGATGGTCGTGGCTCTGCAAGATAGTTCGCTGGCTCAGGGGAGGCGCTCCGAATGCGGGAGGGAAGTACACTATTTGGTACGGAGGAAGCGGGAATCAGACGTTTAGGTACCGGGTTTCTAATTAGGCGTAGATTATATTACGCTTTGAGGGAGTACAATTCTTTAGAGATAGACTTTTCGGTAGTACATTTCAGGGACTTGGTTAAAATCGCATTAATTAACATCATTGTCCGACGAAGACAGTGACATGAAGGCATAATAGTGAATTTTACGTTAACTCGAATGGGTTTATGATAAAACTACACGAAAACTACATGAAAAATAATTGTAGGTGACGCGAACGCAAGTTAGGAAGGAAGATGTTTATATTCGCCGATTGGTAATCTAGAGAAGTGTTGCAAGAATATATATGATAATGGGATCGTCTGATAACTTTGCCATCTCC